GACTTCACACGAACAGTGTAGGTCAGCAATGGCACACAAAGCTTTTTTCATCTGATTTGACTTTCCTGGACAGATATCAGCTTAAAGGCTGTATTGGATCACTGTGCAGGACAACACAGACTGTATGTTTACAGTTATTCAGCCTTGTTCATCCTGATATGGCAGCTGCACACTGCATCCAGACAGCAGCGGCTGAGTCATTATTTGCAGGCAGACCTTTCGGGGGCCTAATAAAACATTCAAAGTGCCAGCCTCTCTGGTTGGATCATTTGACTTGCAAACAACATGTGTATCATGGAAGGCTGCTGTTGGTGCAGTATTCCCTGGAACCCCGTCAGCTTTGTCAACACAGAGTAAATGTCACGGCATCAGGCGATGACTTACAACTGGCAGTTCAGACTCCGGTTTGCGATGAGCCAGGAGTTTGTACGTCTTCAGGTTGTTTTCGAAGCTCCTGCAAACAAACGGGACACTTGGAATAATCAAAGAATACATGGAAAAAAAAACAACGATGCTGTTGCCGTGTTTATACTAAAAAATCTCTCTGGTGTTTGGCGACTTGCGTCAGGACAAAAGCAAATGTCTGGATTGAGGTCACAGTTTTTAATCGAGCGATGGCTTCAGTCCTGACAGGCGTGAATTATACCTGCCCCGCAGCTTCACGGCCTCTTCAAACCTCTTTTCATCCATGGCCTTCTGGACTTCTTGAGTCTAGAAAAAAAAAACATGAAAGTGTTGTTAGTTTAATTTACTTATCACTGAAATGGGTAAGCAATTTCCATCTCTGGTCTCTCCCCTCAGGTTCAGGTTTTTTTTTATTAAATATATGTGTGTATATGTTTGGTTTGGAGCTAGGGTTAGGGATAGGATTTGTAAAGTAGTCACAATGAAAACCAGACTGTGTGTGTGTGTGTGTGTTGATCCCTGACCATTACATACCATCTGCACACACTCCATCAGAGGTAAGCGCACTGACTGGTTGCCGACCAGAGAAACCACACAGGCTGGAGTGTTAGCTGTGGTCTCCAGAAGAGCAAAAACAGCCTCAACCCCCATGCGACTTGCCTGTGTTGGCAACAGGTGGACAAAGAAAAGACGAACTTCAGTTCTGTCAACATTTTTTTCAGCATTCACTTTTCAGCATTCAACGTGTTTCTATTTGTTGGCTGGCAGACATACCAGGATGCGGTCAAAAGCCGACGGGGTCCCTCCTCTCTGGACGTGCCCCAGAATTGTCACACGGGTGTCGAAACCCAAACATTTAACAACAAGCTGGAAGGAGGAAGACAAACAAGCCTTAGAGGGGATCGTGGAAATGTGCATTCTGCGTAATTACAGAATACACAGGTTGAAGTACTGCGTGATCTCATGCATGTTAGTGTACGGTTCAAGTTGTTTCTGCAATGACATAAAATCATGTAGATGCAAAAAAAACAGAACAAAAACACTATTAACAACAACCACCACACAATAACATGAGAGAAGAGCTCAAGAAAAAGGGGAAACACTCAAAGCACAGGCAAGCCATTCTAATTTTTCAGTCATGTTAACAGGGATCACGAACTACGGGTGTATTGAAATGATCACATTAAATAAAATAAATGTTCTCTGAAACCATCCTGTACGAGTTAGAGGTAGCTTGGGTTTTACTGCAAGTATATTTACAACTACATATTTGGCAGTAGCTTAATAAACCATGTTAAAATAATGAAGTAAATAAAATGCCTTTAGCTGTAGAAAATGTCTAGAGGTGGATGTTTGGTGAAGGGGGTCTACTCTGGGTGGGGGTCCTAGAGCGGTGGCAGTATTATAGTGAAAGCGTCTTACCAAAACTAGCGTATGTGTCTGACAGAGCATTCCAGAAACACAGCAGCAAGGTCAAAGCCACACTAGGGCAGCAGTACAGGAATGGAGGCTCCTGGTTACACCGTAACACAAACCTCTGTACTTACATCCTTAATACAATCAGTGGTAATGGGCTTGTTGTTTTGATCAATCGCCCCTTCGGCTACAATTATGATATTCAGCCTTTTCATCCCTGCTCGGTTCTAAAAGAAGGTGGTGGAGAAAACGACATGACAGAAAAATTGAGACTCTGGCTGTGACGTGGGCTTTTTTTCAGAAGCACGGAGCACGCCAACCGCCATGATCGTCTGAGAGCTGCAAACACATAAAGGTCACATCATGGTCGACGTCAGTGCGTTGTCACCGCCGGTTGTGATCGGTGAAATCAAAACAGGACTTGACGCCCGTTGTTGCTGCACAAATCATGAGCTACTGCATGTAGGGCTGGTGGTATAGTAGGTTATCTGAAGGAAGAGGAGTGTGTTCTCCATCAGTTGGGTCTCCATGCTTCTGGCTTCCCCTTATTTTTTTTAACACAGGTACTCACGTCTTTGACATAACTAGAGGTTATAGCCTTCCCATGTCTGTCTAAGGCTCCCTCTGCAACTATGATTATGTTTAGTCTCGTGCCCCTGGATCGTGTCTGAATGACACAAAAAAAGAGAAAAAAAATGGCAGTTTCCGCAAGAAGATAAAAATATATATATTCAACAGCAGCATGGATACTTTTCCAGCATCTTCTGATGAGGATTTAGTCCTTGGAGAAAGACATTACAGTTACAAGGAACATGATTCATTATGCTGTACTCAAACCCAGCAGGCTGACTCAGTGTACTTCATTTAGCTTTACTGAGTCAAAATGAGTGGGATGGTGTTACCGCAGACAGTTTCTGACACATCTTGTCCTCCCAGCCATCCTCAGGTGGCATCTCGGGGATCAACACCCAGTCTGCCCCACAGGCCAGGGCGCTCACCAAGGCCAGGTACCTGGGAAGGAGCAGACAAGACAAGAAAACACGACGTGTACACAAACAGGTGATAATAGTGTAGCTGCCACTGGGATTTCAGTTTTTGTTTCATCGAAAGCACTCTTACCCACAGTGTCTGCCCATGACCTCCAACACGAATGTTCTCTGGTGACTAAGAAATGAGAGCAAGACTCCGTTTAGTTTCTCAGAACAGGATTAATGAGATCAGATTTTCATAATTGTGATCTATTTTCGGCAAACTGTCACAATCTCACTAAGTCGTCACCTCTGCGCCGTTGTCATAATCGCGTCCACCACTTCGATGATCCTGTGCAAAGCAGAGTCCGTCCCGATCGTCATGTCAGTTCCGCAGAAGTCATTGTCGATGGAGCCCACCATACCCACGATGTGAAGGGCGGAATATTTCTGCACAGCATCGGCTTCGATCAAACCTGAAACAGAGACAAACTTAATACTGCTGCAGCTGGGCCTGAGCTGCGTTTTTTTACTTTACACGTTGACAGACACAAAGGTCAGTCTCTCGGCATGTTGACAAAATACCACAGGGTCTGATGACAGTGGAAACTGAAAACAGTAACACTTAAAAGTCACAGAATAAAAAAATAACCATGTGGAGTTTGTACTGTCTTCTACTTGTGGTACGCATCGGCTGAAATCTGCTCTGATTGGTCAATGTCGTCTCTTTGTTTTTAATTATTTGACTAAGGCATTTTTATTTCGTTTTTTTTCGTCCTCGTAAAACAACCTGTTGACTATTTAATAAAAATGATAGGTGGAAATTAACACTCCATAGAAATGATTTCAGATTTGAAATCCCACTACCTTGCTCCATCAGTTCCCCCAGCAGTCCACTCCATTCCTCCCTGAAGAGGTTGGCTCCAGTCAGGCTGCCGTCTCCACCAATCACACACAGGTTAGTGATGCCGTACTGTACCAGATTGTGAGCGGCCTTCAGACGTCCTTCATGAGTACGGAAATCTTTGCAGCGGGCACTGCCAATGACGGTTCCGCCCTGACAGAGACACAAGGAGACGCATTTTCAATGATCTTCATTCCCCTGACTTCAGGAAACGTTAGTTTTAGCTTTGTTTAACTTTATTACGTTGCTTTAATTTGTTGCGGTTCCCACACTAGCTCTGCAGCACCTCCTTGTGTAGAGAAATAAGACTGTTGAGCCCACACATGCTAACCCTAATCAAAGCAATTGCTTCAAAACTCCACTGAACTGTGGTTCCTACAACGTTGCTATTCTGGTAAAAGAAAGAAAATAATATCACAAATCTGTGCCATTTCCCCACTGTGTTATAAACAGAGAAAATATTGATTTTGAAAGTCATTGGCCTTGCTGCACCCCACCACGCAATAGCTCCTGCACCCTAAGGGCTCCCGTCCCCCACTTTGGGAACCAGTGTCTTAGATAAACATCAAAGATCTAAGGTGTTGATTCAACTTGCAGGGATATTTCAATCCATGCAAGTTGCACATTTATATATATATATATATATGGAATTCTGTGTTCTATTTTTTGTTTGTTTTGTTTATACACACTTAAGGGATTGTCTCTTTCTGGAGCACCGGGGGAGTTTCATTAGGTGTATGGATTTATGCTCATTATAAATACTCACCACTTGTAACATGCTAGAAACACTTTCCCATGAGGCTTCTCTGATGTTTTCTCCACCATCCACCATACCCTGATATCCCTAAATATAAAAAAAAAAAAAATAAATACAGAAGAACAACCCAAACAAACACTTCAGACGAGAGCATCAGTCAAGTGCACTCCAGAATGTCACGGCCACTCAGCAAGAAATCAGTATTTAAACTACAAGCAATTCTTAAGATATGTCCCAGTAACACTTAATAACTTTATCTGGACGTTAAAAACATTTTCAGTTCTCACTTTTGCAGTTTCCTGAGGAAGCTGCTGAGAACTATGTAACATTGGTGGAAGTGGAGTTTGGTTATGTAACAGGACAGTTCGCAAGCTGGACAAACACAGCTGAAATGTAATCCCACAATGGTTGAACTCATAAGGTCACTTGAATTAACCACATCCCGCCTGAAGGAAAATGCTGAGAACTATGTAACCTTGGTGGGAGTGGAGTTTGGTTATGTAACAGGACAGTTCGCAAGCTGGACAAACACAGCTGAAATGTAATCCCACAATGGTTGAACTCATAAGGTCACTTGAATTAACCACATCCCTGTTTTAATACATGAAATGAGCATAACAAAACAAAAAATAACATGGCCATTTGGCTACATTTCTGCAAGTTAACGCCTAATAACTCTTGCTCATCTAAGACTGATATCCAGTTCCCTTTTTTGCTTTTAGTTTTGGGAAAAGAAACTGCAAAAAACTGAAAATAAAAACATTAATATTAAGGGCTGAAAAACAGTTGTATAAAGCTTTAAATTCATTTACATATTTAAACATCTACACATTTAACATAAAACGTCATGATGATCGTCAAATCCTGCACAAACTGCATGTTGAGTTATCATAGCTGGCTTTTACACCAGACATTGCATTGACAAGGGCTCACCTCGTGAATGAAATAAACTTTAGCACCGACATATAATCCCATTCGAACCACAGCACGCACAGCAGCATTCATCCCTGTAAGGAGAAGAATTATAGTGACAAAATAGTAGTGACCACAAAGCAGGCAGAGCAAACAATTATGGCTACATTTTTTGTGTGCATTTATGATTCTTAACCTTTGTCTATGTTAAGTCTATGTTAATGGTTGTAAAACTGAAAGGATACTCTGTGTGTTTATTCTGTCTAGTCATGTCTGGGACATTTCTTCTCACATTTTTTCCATTACGCTGGTCTCAGCACAGCCATTAACTAAGTAGGCCCTGCAGTGTGACCTGAGCGTCAGTGACAGGTTGGCTCAAATACAATGACTTTAGATAATGCATTACCACAGCAGTTAGCGAGAACTTGGCAGACGTTAAGGTAAAGGCACAGAGCTCCTTTGTAAAAGCAGCCAAGTGTTGCTGTTACTAAGCAACATGTTTATAAGTCGCTGGGCAGTGGGAAAGACGACACTGAAACGAGGTGCTGGGGTAGTTGGTTTATAACAAGGACCAGGAAAAACCATCAACTACTACTGTAGCTGTACTGCTAATACCGTGGTGTATACTATCACGACTCAGGATCTCTTCTTTCATTACATAACTGTTCAGCTCAAAAGCACAAGGGGTTGGACTACAGAGAGAAAAAAATGGTGGGGCCATCGCGTTCTACATGACCGATACGTGCAGAGTGATGTAGAAGGACAAATTCATGTCTACATAATGCCTGTAGGAGTCTAATGAGCAGCTTCTGTCATGCATGACATAGAATCAGTGGTTTGTGATGAAGCCAACGCCATAAGCATGTTTTCCTTCAGGGTGTGTGTATATATGCTGCATTTATCTCAAAACCGATCTTCTAGGTGGATTAATTCTATCTGAAGCTATTGAATTGCTGCATTTAGACTGAGGTTGTATAAATAAGCCTAAGATGTATAATTTTACAAGTCACAATGATAAAGCATGTTTGGTTTGGCTGTTTTGGCTGACTCACTGCAGCACTGGTACGCCTGCTATGGCTAAACATAGCAGAACTGGTGATTTGTGTTATTTATTCCACTTTACGTCAACAAATGTGCCTTTAAATTAATGATGAGATTACTTTAAAAACTTAGTTAGTCATTGTGTACATTTTAAAAAAGCAAAATATTGGAAGATTTTATCAGAGCAGGACGGAACATTTTAATTTTGATCCCTTTGAAAATATGCTGATGAAGACCAAACCCTCCATAGATCTGATGCTGCTTAATTCAATTACAGCAACAGGTTTTAACGAAGACACCGTTCACCTTTATATTGCAAACATTATTACAGTAACCAATGTGAACATGTCTTATTATTATCTACTGAATATTTGTTTTAATACCAATAATAATGATTGTAAGTGCGGTGGTGGGCGTGTCTACACGTGACCAGGATTTTCCTCCCGTGGCCATGACGCACAGCCGGTTTATGAGAAAGTGATGCTGTATATGCAGCTCATCACGTACACAGGATACTGGCATCCACCGCAGAGCCACATTCTGACTGTGCACTGCGACTCGTCTCCATCACCCCGTCACTAACCTGCGCCTTAAAGGGCAACGAGCCACCGTACAAAGGCTGTTACAGTGTTACTAAACAGAAGTTTAGGAAATTAAAACGGGCAACTGACACCCCTTATTTGGTCATCGTGCACATTACTGAGTACTAGATGAGGAACGCGCAGTGCGGTTTTGCTCGGCTTAACACTTGGGCATCTTTAATATTCCCTCACCGTATAGTACACCATCAAACACTATCTTTTCGACCCAACGAAAGGCTACAATAGTGTTGTTAGCATTATTAGCAGGGGGTCGGGC